GTGCTTCCCTTCGTTTGGAAGTTTTCCCAGCCCTGTTCACGGCCTTGTGCGTGAATTCTGGCATCCATTCTCCCAGGCATCCATTCACCAGGCATCCTCAGCCCCTGCTGTGGCCTGGCCCTCTGGGGTCGGCCTTGTTCCCTCCCTGCCATCTGCTGGGGAGGCCACTGGACTTGCGCTCTCCCATGTGTTGGGGGGCACTGGCCAAGGGGGTTACTGAGCACTTGAAATGGGACTCTGATGAGAGACCTGGGCACCTGAAAAATACATCATACACCGCTCATTTCTCTTTTTGTTGTTGTTGTTGAGACATGGTTTCACTCTTGTTGCCCAGGCTGAAGCGCAGTGATGCAATTTCAACTCACCATAACCTCTGCCTCATGGGTTCAAGCGATTCTCCTGCCTCAGCCTCCCAAGTAGCTGGGATTACAGGCGACTGCCACCACGCTTGGCTAATTTGTTTGTATTTTTAGTAGAGATGGGATTTCACCGTGTTGGCCATGCTGGTTTTTGAACATCTGGCCTCTGGTGATCCACCGGCCTCAGCCTCCGAAAGTGCTGGGATACAGGCGCCAGCCACCCCGCTAGCACGGCTTACACGGCTCATTTCAAAGACTCAGCATGACAAGAAAAAGAAACTTCATTAGCTTGTTAAGAATTTTATGTTAAATAATGTTGAAGTAATGTTAGCTACATTGGATTAAATAAAATATTAAAATTAGGCCGGCAGTGTGGCTCACACCTGTAATCCCAACACTTTGGGAGGCTGAGGCAGGTGGATCACCTGAGGTCTGGAGTTCAAGACCAACCTGGCCAACATGGTAAAATCTGGTCTCTACTAATAATACAGAAAAAAAAAAAAAAAAAAATTACCCGCGCATGGTGGTGGGCACCTGTAATACCAGCTACTCAGGAGTCTGAGGCGACAGAATTGCTTGAACCCAGGAGTCAGAGGTTGCAGTGAGCTGAGATTGCGTCATTGCACTCCAGCCTGAGCAACAAGAGAGAAACTCTGTCTCAAAAAAAAAACAAACAAAAAACAAAGCCTTTTGTGCAGAGGCAAACCCCCTCCACCATCCGATCCCAGGACAGTCCAGCGGGAAGGTCAGGGCCACGGACTTGGAAAGTGTGGGAGAGAAGGGCACCCTGGACAGCCCGCCGCCGGGCATTTCACTCGTCAGTGCGTGGTTTGCTTTCCCAGCTGGCTTAGCTCCTGCCTGCAAAGTGATTGGAGTCCGAGTGGTACCTGGCCTCGAAAGATCTTTGCGCCCCAAGTGGGCATTGAGGGGCCCCTTGTTTTCACTTCGTAGCACAGCCAGACGGTATTCCGACGAGAAAGGATGGGTCTGTTATTAAAGTTGTAGAAGAATGTGCCTCGATACATTCGCTCCACTGTGTTTCTGAAGACACAAGAGAGAAACCAGCCAATGCAGAGAGCGCTCCCAGGAGCCCTCCGTGCTGATGTCCGCTAAACACAGCTCCCTGGACGGCTCTGGGCCTCCCCCATCTCTCCACAGCCCTGAGAATTTCTGCTTCCTTCCCAGGCAGGAAGACCGGGGAGAGAGCAAGAAAAGGGGGTGCTGGCAGGGGCAGCAGGACCGGGGTGACCTCTTCCCGCTCAGGGCCCAGCTCTGGTCATTCCAGGGGTACATTCCCCCCTCCCCCCGTATTTCTCCCACCCACTCTCCAATGCATTAGTAAAATGCAAAAGAGAATAAAGTTATTGGCTGGACATTATGGCTCATAACTGTAATCCCAGCCTTTTGGGAGGCCGAGGTGGGCCGATCATTGAGGTCAGGAGTCTGAGACCAGTCTCACCAACATGGTGAAACCCAGTCTCTACTAAAAACACAAAAGTTAGCCAAGCATGGTGGCGGGTACATGTAATCCCAGCCACTCAGGAGGCTGAGGCAGGAGAATCACTTGAACGTGGGAGGCAGAGGTTGTAGTGAGCTGAGATCGTGCCATTGCACTCCAGCCTGGGCAACAAGAGCGAAAATTCATCTCAAAAAAAAAAAAAAAAAGATGAAAAAATATTTTTTTAATAATAATATTTTTAGGCCGGGCGCGGTGGCTCAAGCCTGTAATCCCAGCACTTTGGGAGGCCGAGACGGGCGGATCACGAGGTCAGGAGATCGAGACCATCCTGGCTAACAAGGTGAAACCCTATCTCTACTAAATATACAAAAAACTAGCCGGGCGAGGTGGTGGGCGCCTGTAGTCCCAGCTACTCGGGAGGCTGAGGCAGGAGAATGGCGTGAACCCGGGAGGCGGAGCTTGCAGTGAGCTGAGATCTGGCCACTGCACTCCAGCCTGCTGAGATCGTTGCCATTGCACTCCAGCCTGGGCAACAAGAGCGAAAAATTCATCTCAAAAAAAAAAAAAAAAAGATGAAAAATATTTTTCAATAATAATATTTTTGTAAAGTCGGCGCGGTGGCTCAAGCTCAATCCCAGCACTTTGGGAGGTCGCAGACGGCGGATCACGAGGTCAGGAGATCGAGACCACATCCTGGCTAACAAGCAGAAACCCTATCTCTACTAAATATACAAAAACTTAATGGGCGAGGTGGGCGCTGAACCCAGCGAGCCGGGAGGCTGAGGCAGGAGAATGGCGTGAACCCGGGAGGCGGAGCTTGCAGTGAGCTGAGATCCACACTGCACTCCAGCCTGCGCGACAGAGCAGATCGTCTCAAAAAAAAAAAAAAAAATAATAATAATAATAATAATAATATTTTTAAAAAATCATAGATTTTAACCTTTCAGCCAGTTCCTTCCTGACATTTCACCTCAGTATATCACTATTTTTAAATCACGGTAGAACTGAATTCTGAGGCCCAGGCCACTCTTCTAAGTGCTGCGTGGGTATGAGCTCATGTGAGGCTGCCCTAGGCCTGCAGGGGCCATTCCCATCTTACAGAGGAGGGGCCAGAGGCGCAGAGAGGTGGGGTAACCTGCCCAGGCCACAGAGCTGGGGATGGATGGGGCTGGGCCTCTTATCAGACGAGCCCTGTCCAGTCTCTGTATCACTGGCCCTGCAGGAGGGAGTCACTGGGGACCGGGCTCTCTTCTTACTAATTTAAAATAAAAGCATTTCTCCTGATCATGGAGGCTTTTTTCCCCCATATATTCCACGTTTTTTGTTTTGTTTTTGTTTTTGTTTTCTTTTGAGACTAAATTTCGCTCTTGTTGCCCAGGCTGGAGTGCAATGGCATGATCTCGGCTCACTGCAACCTCCGCCTCCTGGGTTCAAGCGATTCTCCTGTCTCAGCCTCCAGAGTAGCTGGGATTACAGGCATTCACCACCGCACCTGGCTAATTATGTATTTCTAGTAGAGACAGGGTTTATCCATGTTTGTCAGGCTGGTCTCGAACTCCCGACCTCAGGAGATCCACCTGACTCGGCTTCCCAAAGTGCTGGGATGACAGGCTTGAGCCACCGTGCCCGGTCACTATATTCCATGTTACTAGTGTCATTATAAATGGTGAATGCTGATTGTAGAGGAAGAGTGTGTGTTTGGGGTCATCTGCATCCTCCTCTGCCCACAATGGAGACATCCTTGGAAGACATGATTTATCTTGTGCTTCAGAGACCATTCCCTCCCCACACCCTCTCCTAAGACTTGGTATTTAAAGCAAAGTAAATCTTACAGAAAATCCATCGAAGCTCTGTGAACAAAATTCCACATTGCTCCCATCATCCTTTGGTTCAATTCTCCCAGTTCCAGAGTTCAGGAATGGCGGGAAGCACACAGAGGGAGCACCCTCCCAGGGCAGGGAGCACCACCCCTGCCATGACTTTTGGGGAGAGTCTCAGTAGGGGGCCTGGGCTGGGGCAGGTGGAGGAGGCGGCCCATTCAGAAGTAGCAGTGGGGCGACCACAGAGCAGGACAAAGAGCCTGGCTGGGAGTGGCGGGGGCAGGGGAGTCAGAAGGGAGGGAGCCCAGGGTTGGGGCTGGGGCCGGGTGGCGGCGGGGCAAGGTTGAGGCCCAGCAGGGCCACCAGGGAGGAAGGGGCAGCAGAGAGGCCCAGCGAGTCGAGCAGGCAGCGGTACCTGAACTGAGGCTTCATCTTTGGCTGGCCAGTCCCGACTATGATCTTTGTCTGGAGCAGGAAGGTTTCACTTTCTGCTACAGGCTCCCGGTTTTAGGACAGCCCTCCTTTAAGTGACCTCCCAGGGTCTCGTAGTTATGGCCCCTCCCTCTTCCTGCTCTGGCGCTGGAGTGGGAGGCCCTGGGATGCTTTATCTTCCTCAGGCTCTCATCCTCTTTCTGTTTTTCTCTGGGGTCCTCCCCCTGGCAGAGGGACCTCTGATAAAGACAGGCCGCTCTGTGTGGCAGGACCCAAGGTAACTGCAAAGGGAAAGAGAAAGTCTTTGCAGCCAGAGACTGGGAGGTGGGTCCACACCAGGCTGAGCTAGCAGAGCACAAGCCCCTCCCCTGGTGGTCCCGCCCAGCTGGAGCCACTTCTCCACCCTCAAGACAGACAGGCTGATGCCTCTGCAGGGACTCCTGGATCCTGCCCTCAGGGATCGTCCCAGAGATGGTCTCCATCCAGCAGCCATGGGGACAAGGAGGAAGAGTGAAGGGTCAGGCGTCTGCCTACCCCCAGGCCTTCACACTCGGAGGCCACCATGGGAGGGAGGGACAGCAGGTGGGTGTGGGCCTCAGATGTCCCACCAGGATGCCATGTGCGTCCCCGCACTGAGCTCTTTCCTTCCTGCTTCTCCTTCTTCCCCATCTCCTGCCCGGAGTTGCTCCCTGGTAGGCTGAGCTCTGGCCTCCTCTTGTCCCCATGCCATGGAAGGGCAGCAGCTGGTGTCCCAGGCCAGCCTGTCTGGAGCCTCCCTGTGGGTCTCACAGCTCCCTTCCCCTGGTAGTGTCCTCCCATGGTGCAGAGACCTAAAAATTACACAAAGTATACATTTGGATTTTTATTTGCTTGCTTTTGTTTTTTGTGGTTGTTTTGTTTGTTTGTTTGTTTTTTGAGACGGAGTCTTGTTCTGTTTACCCATGCTGGAGTGCAGTGGCATGATCTCAGCTCACCGCAACCTCCGCCTGCCAGGTTGAAGCGATTCTCTTGCCTCAGCCTCCCATGTAACTGGGATTACAGACCGCCACCCCTATGCCTGGCTAATTTTTGTATTCTTAGTAGAGACAGTGTTTCTCCTTGTTGGTCAGGCTTACAGGCGCCCACCATTATGCCTGGCTAATTTTTGTGTTTCTGGTAGAGACAGGGTTTCTCCATGTTGTTCAGCTGGTCTTGAACTCCCAGTCTGAGGAGATCCACACACCTCGGCCTCCCAAAGTGCTGGGATTACAGACGTGAACCACCGTGCCTGGCCACAGTGTATAAATTTGGAAAGGAGACTTTATTTCTTGTTAAGAGTGACCTGCAGGTGGCCATCCTGCAGCCTGGGAAGAACAGCCTCTGGGAAACAGCAGAGACAGACATTTAGAAGCAGGAGGGGTTGGGGCAGGAGCTTTATGCTGAAGGTGTTGGCTAAACATACATATTCAACAGGCTACAGGAGGAGCTATGAATATTCATGTAGATGGCTGCAGTCCGTGCTTGTTGAACAAACATGTGTGTAACACATGATCCCAGGCGGGCATGGTGGCTCACACCTGTAATCCCAGCACTTTGGGAGGCCGAGGGAGGTGGATCATCTGAGGTCAGTGTCAGGCCTCTGAGTCGGAGCTAAGCCATTGTTACCCCTGTGAACTGCACATATACATCCAGACGACCTGCAGCAGCCAAGAAGTCTGGAGCAGTCGAAAAACCACAAAAGAAGTGAAACAGTCAGTTTCTGCCTTAACTGATTAAACAACCTTGAGACATTCCACCGTTATGACTTGCTCCTGCCCTGCCCAACTGATCAATCGACCTTATGACACTTTTCCTGGACAATGGGTCTCATGGTCTCCCCACCATGCACCTTGTTACCCCCTCCCCTGCTGTCAACAGATGACCACCTTCGACTGTAACTTTCCGCTGCCTACCCAAGTCCTATAAAGCTGCCCCGTCCTATCTCCCTTCGCTGACTCTCTTTTCGGACTCAGCCCTCTTACACCCAAGTGAATAAACGGCCTTATTGCTTACACAAAGCCTGTTTAGGTGGTCTTCTATATGGACACGTGTGACAGTCAGGAGTTCGAGACCAATCTGGCCAATATAGTAAGACCTCGTCTCTCTTAAAACTACAAAAATTAGCCAGGCGTGGTGGCGGGTGCCTGTAATTCCAGCTACTCAGGAGGCTGAGGCAGGAGAATCACTTGAACCTGGGAGGTGGAGGTTTCAGTGAGCCGAGATCGCGCCACTGTCCTCCAGCCTGGGAGACAGAGTGAGAGTCCATCTCAAAACAAAAAACAAAAAAACGAACAAAACAAACAAACAAAAATCTAAAAAAAAAAAAAAAAAGCCACCGTAAATCCCTCCTCACATTGTGGTGGAGACAACATTTAAATGTACTACAATTAAGCCTGTATGTCAAAAGGTCCTTTCAGAACATGGAGGCACCGAGATTTGCCAGGTCTGTAAACCACGCAGAACCAGTCCGTGGTCCATGGTCTGTGTCCATGGTTTCTGATCTGGAGAAAGTCACTGAAATCAGTCTCTTGTGCAGGGAAAGCAGGAATGAGGGCTGTGGAGCAGGGGCTCTGTGGCTCCGTGTCAGGACGCTGGATGAGCTGTGATTGTTTTCATCTTTATCTGGAGGCAGTGCTTGTTTAGCTGCTAGAGCAAAAGAAAAACTCTGTGGCAGGCAGAACAGAGTTTACTGTTGAAGTGTGGGCTGTGTGACCTCACCCTTGCCTGGCACGGCCTGAGGTCCTGGTTGTGATTTGGTATCTTTTTGCCATGAAGAGTCTGTTCTGGTTCTGCCCGTCTTACGATTCTGTTTTAACATTACCGCTGGTCAGTTTTTTCTAAACTGCAAAAGGGCGGGGTGATAATGAGGCGTGCCTGACCTCCCCTCCCATCACACCCAGGAACTCAGTTTTAAGGTTTTTCTGAGATACCCTTGGCCACTAGGGACCAAAGCTAGTGGGGGGATTGGGGGGGCCAAAGATTTTAGTTTTACTTCATAGGCCTGAAGACTAAGCTCTGATTTGTTTGTATTTAATCTTGCCCAGAATCCTATCTAAGGGATCTGGGGACTCATGCCTTACAAACCACACATCCTCGTCAGATGGGTTCTATTTTTATTTTATTGTATTGTATTTTAATTGAGGCTGAGTTTTGCTCTTCTTGCCCAGGCTGGAGTGCAATGGTGCAGTCTCGGCTCACTGCAACCTCCGCCTCCCGGGTTCAAGCGATTCTCCTGTCTCAGCCTCCCAAGTAGCTGTCATTATAGGTGCCCGCCACCACGCCTGGCTAATTTTTGTATTTTTAGTCGAGACAGGGTTTCACCATGTTGGCCAGGCTGGTCTCAAACTCCTGACCTCAGGTGATCCACCTGCCTCAGCCTCCCAAAGTGCTGGGATTACAGACATGAACCACCGCGCCTGGCACAGATGGGTTTTATTTAACCCTGTATATTGTGAGTTACTTTCCAATCTGACTCAGGCACAACATTATGTGACAAAGAAAAAAGAGAAAATATTTTACCCCAAAACATGTTTCTTTGCCATATCGTGAAAAGGCCCTGCAAAGTGGTCCTTCGTGGGGGAAAGTTTGCATCTGTGAAGAGTCTCTATTAATATAGCTGGATCTTTTCTTCTAGGCCCTCCCAGTCCTAAACGGATTAATTAATTGCACCTTTTAAAGACCTGAATGGGACACATTTGTCGTCTATTGTCTCTAAGGGCAGCCACTATGAGACTTCAAAAGAACCTTGGTCTCCACAGTCTTTTATCTTAACCTGAACATTTCCTTTCTGTGGATGCCAGGTCTCTAGACAAACTCACCCAATCGTCAACCAGAAAATGTTTCAATTTATCTGTAGCCTGGAAGAGCCCCAGCCCTCCTCCCCTCACTTTGAGTTGTACGACCTTTCTGGACCAAACCAATGTATTTCTTTTCTTGTCTTTATTTTGAGACGGAGTCTTGCTCTGTCACCCAGACTGGAGTACAGTGGCGTGGTCTTGGCTCACTGCAACCTCTGCCTCCTGGGTTCAAGTGATTCTCCTGCCTCAGTCTCCCAAGTAGCTGGGATTAAATGTGCCCGCCACCACACCTAACTAATTTTTTGTATTTTTAGTAGAGACGGGGTTTCACCACGTTGGCCAGGCTGGTCTTGAACTCCTGACCTCGTGATCCACCTGCCTCGGCCTCCCAAAGTGCTGGGATTACAGGCATGGGTCACCGTGCCCAGCTTCTGTATTTCTTAAATGTATTTGATTGATATCTCATGCTTCTCTAAAATATATAAAACCAAAGTCTTATCTAAGGGGTCTGGGGAGTCATGCCGCACCCCTACCACCTTGGATACATGTTCTCAGGGCCTCCTGAGCGCTGTGTCACGGCCCATGGTCACTGGTATTTGGCTCAGAACACATCTCTTCAAATATTTTACAGAATTTGACTCTTTTTGTTGACAGGCCCAAGACCCAGGTGCCCACTCCCTGTTTCCTCTGAGGGCCCGAGCTTCTGGTTCTCTAGCCCCTCTGGTTCCTGGTTGCCCTTCTACTTTCTGTTCTGCTTTCTCGAAAAGCTCTGGGCATCTCAAGCCTCCATGTGGTACCCAATTCTACTTTTTACTGAAAATCTTACTTAAACACCAACTTGATCACTGATCAAGTTTTCTTGGCCCTTTCTCTTTCACATTCCCTAGGCTGTGTCCTAGCCCAGTGGTGCACTGTTGGGAGGGATTTGACAAAGGAGGGGCATGAGCAGGAGGGAGGGCTGGGTGCTCTTGGGTGCAGGAGGGTGGGCTGGGTGGAGCACCAAGGAAGATCTGGGTAGAGGGGCTGTGAGGGTCAGGTTGAGACTCCCCTGGGAGACAGACACACAGGACAGGAACCCCTGCACACCCCACTCAGGCCCACCCACATGACTGCAGCTTGCTGCCGTGTTGCCCTGTTTCTCCCAAAAATCAGTATATTGAAGCCCTAACCCCTGTACCTCAATGTGTGCTTGTATTTGGAGACAGGTCCTTTTCAACAGATGATTGATTAATTAATTAATTTTTTTGGAGACGGAGTCTTACTCTGTCTCCCAAGCTGGAGTGCAGTGGCACCATCTCAGCTCACTGCAACCTGTGCCTCCCTGGTTCAAGTGATTCAAGCCTCAGCCTCCGGAGTTGCTGGGATTCCAGGTGTCCACCACCACACCCAACTACTTTTGGAATTTCAGTAGAGATGGAGTTTCACCATGTTGGCCAGGCTGACCTCCACCTCCGCCACCTTGGCCTCGCAAAGTGCTGGGATTACAGGCGTGCGCCACCACACCCAACCCAAATTAATTAATTACTTATTATTATTTTTTATATGCAGTCTTACTCTGTCTTCCAGGTTGGAGTGCAATGGCGCGATCTCGGCTCACTGCAACCTCTGCCTTCCAGGTTCCAGCGATTCTCCAGCCTCAGCCTCCCGAGTAGCTGAGATTACAGGCGTCCACTACCACGCCCAGCTAATTTTTTGCATTTTTAGTAGAGACAGGGTTTCACCATGTTGACCAGGCTTGTTTCAAACTCCTGACCTCAAGTGATCCGCTGGCCTCGGCCTCCCAAAGTGGTAGGATTACATGTAGGCATGAGCCACCACGCCCGGCCGAGATGATTAATTTAAATGAGACCTCTACTGTGAGCACAAATTCATTTGGCTGGTGTCCATAAAGGAGGAGGTCCGCCGGGTGCTGTGGCTCTTGCCTTTAATCTCAGCACTTTGGGAGGCCGAGGTGGGCAGTCAGGAATTCGACACCAGCCTGGCCAACATGCTGAAACCCCATCTCTACTTAAAAATACAAGAATTAGTGGAGAGTGGTTCGGGGCGCCTGTAATCCCAGCGACTCAGGAGGATGAGGCAGGAGAATTGCTTGAACTTGGGAGGTAGAGGCTGCAGTGAGCAGTGATTGTGCCATTGCACTCCAACCTGGGCAACAGAGTAAAACTCCGTCTCAAAAAAAAATAAAAGATCAGGTACGGTGGCTCATACCTGTAATCCCAGCACTTTGGGAGGCCGGGGAGGGTGGATCACCTAAGCTCACGAGTTCGAGACGAGCCTGAGAAAAATGGAGAAACCCCCTTCTCTACCAAAACTACAAAATTAGCCAGGCGTGGTGGCGCATACCTGTACTCCCAGCTACTCAGGAGGCTGAGGCACAAGAATCGCTTGAACCCTGAAGGTGGAGGTTGCAGTGAGCCAAGATTGTGCCATTGCACTCCAGCCTGGGCAACAAGAGTAAAACTCAGTCTCAAAAAAAAAAAAAAAAGATATTTGGAGGCAGAGAGACCCCAGTGGTGCAGGTGCACAGAGGAAAGGCCACAGAGGGCACAGCCAGAAGGAGGAGCAGCCTCAGAGCAAACAACCCCACCCACCCCTCAAACTAGGACCTGCAGCCTCCAGATCTGCGTGAAAATAAATGCCTGCCGTGTGGACACCTGGCCCGGGGCATCTTCTATGGAGGCCAGAGCATGAAGGGTCATTTTTATAGTCATTCTCTAATAACTTACATCTGCCTTGAAAATGTCAAGTCAAATTTAAAGTGTGGAGAAGAGCCTCTAAATTTCACATTTCATTTGCAAAGAAATAATTGTCATTTGGGACATACACGCAGTCCGGGTGGTGTTCACCGGAGGTTGCCGGAGAACAAAGAGACGGCAACACGTTTTATGAAAAGGAGAAATGGGCTAGGCGCTGTGGCTTATACCAGCAATCCCAGCAATTTGGGAGGCCAAGGAGGGCGGATCACCTGAGGTCAGGACATTAAGACCAGCCTAAGCCAGGCCTGGTGGCTCACACCTGTAATCCCAGCACTTTGGGTGTCCGAGACGGCTGGATCACCAGGTGAGGAGTTCAAGACCAGCCTGGCCAAAATGCTGAAACCCCATCTCTACTAAAAACACAAAAATTAGCCAGGTGTGGTGGCATGCACATGTAATCCCAGTTACTCGGGAGGCTGAGGTAGGAGAATAGCTTGAACCTGGGCGACAGAGGTTGCAGTGAGCCCAGTTCACACCACAGCACTCCAGCCTGGGTGACAGAGCAAGACTTCGTCTCAAAAAAATAAAATAAAAATAAGACTGGCCTGGGCAACATGATGAAACCTGTTTTTACTAAAAATACAAAAATTAGCCCGGCATGATGGTGCGCACCTGTAATCCCAGCTACTCGGGAGTCTGAGACAGGAGAATCACTTGAACAAGGGAGGCAGAGGTTGCAGTGAGCCGAGGCTGCGCCATTGCACTCCAGCCTGGGTGACAGGGGGAAAAACCCTTTAAAAAAAAAAAAAAAAAAAAAAAAGGAGAAACGTTCTCTTGCCCTTTGGGAAAGTCCATGGGCACTAGGAAGGGTTGGGAGCTGGGAGGTTCCATTGCTGAGTCGCTGCTTTTGGAGCAAGGAGTCCAAGACTTACAGCCATTTATCGCAGAAGCTATGGATAAAGCTGGTTTCAGGGTACAACGCACAGTTTCAGGAGTCAGGCTTGCAGAGAAGTCCATTTCGGGAGCAATGGCGTGTGGCCTGACTGCTTTTCCTCCCTGGCTCCTGGCCTCTGTTTTAGCTGGGTAGGACATGAATGACCCAATTCATAGGATGAAATTTACAAAGGATGTTTCTCAAAACTTCTGATATTCAATTTACATATATTCACGCCCATTTAGGTTGAGTTTATTTATGAATTTATTTTCAGGCAGGGTCTCAATCTGTCATGCAGACCAGAGTTCAGTGGCGCAATCTCAGTTCACTGTAGCCTCCACCTCCCCGGCTCAAGCAATCCTCCCACTTCAGCCTCCCAAGTCGCTTAAACTACAGGTGCATGCAACCACACCTGGCTATTTATTTATTTATTTATTTATTTTTGTAGAGATGGGGTTTTGTCCTGTGGACCAGGCTGGTCTCGAACTCCTGGTCTCAAGCAATTCTCCCACCTCTACCTCCCAAATTGCTGGGGGATTACAGGCGTGAGTCACTGCAGCCAGCCTATGTTGAGTTTAATAAGATTTGTTTATGTGGCCGGGCGGGGTTGCTTATGCCTGTAATCCCAACACTTTGGGAGGCCGAGATGAGCAGATCACCTGAGGTGAGGTGTTCAAGACCAGCCTGGCCAACATGGTGAAACCCAGTTACTACTAAAAATACAAAAAAAAAAAAAAAAAAAAAAAAGATTAGCTGGGCGTGGTGGCAGGCATCTGTAATCCCAGCTATTCGGGAGGTTGAGGCAGGAGAATCGCTTGAACCTGGTAGGCGGAGTTTGCAGTGAGCCAACATCAAGCCATTGTACTCCAGTCTGGGCGACAGAGCGACACTCCGTCTCAAAAAAAATAAAAAGTTGGTTATGCTGGGGAGATGGGAAAAGGCAGGTTAGGGGCACACAGGCTCAGGGAACGGGGTCTTAGTGGGTGGATGGGTAGCCATGGAGGCAGAAAGGGGCCTCTGAAGGAAGATCCTGGGAGAGCGGGGAGGAGGCGGTGAGGCAGGGGAGCACTGTGGAATGGCCCTGAGGGCAGGAGGGGCTCAGGGTGACCAGCCAGAAACAGAGCTGGTCCAGGGTGGAGGGGAGGCCCGCGCAGCATGAGCAGGAGGCTAGAGGAGACAGACCATGAGGCCTGGGGAGACCCCTCACTCGAGAATCTCCTGCAGCTTGCTGTCCAGGAATAGAAAGTTGTATTTTAGTCCCTTCCAAGGCTTGAACGGCTCATCACCATTGTACACAAAGTTTTCCCAACAACATTTAAAATCTAAGAAAAAACGAGGAGAAAGCAGTGAGGACCCAGCAGGCCTCTCTCCAGGCCCTGGTCCCTCCCCTCCCAGGCCAGGTTTCCTGGCTGCCAGTTACAGTGGACGCTGGCCCCATCCCTGCAGGCTTCCCGGGGACACTGCTCCGCCCCACAGCATTGCAGCCCCACCTGCCCCTCATGCTGTCCCTCCCGCACCCACTCTCCTCAGTCCCCCACATCTCACCTTCGTAGCCCATGATCTCCACGGAGGCCCCTTCCTCACTCAGGCTGCGGAGCCCCTGCTGGTAATCTGTATGCCAGAAGTAGTAGAGGCGGGCGGTATAGATGGTGAGCTTCACATTACTGTGCCGGGCCAGGAACTCGGCCACCTCCCCTGCACAATCTAGGCAAGGGCTCCAAGATGTGTACCAGGTGACCTGGTAGTCTGTGTTAGGAGACAGTATGTCCTCGCAGAACCAGGAGAGGAAGCACCTTTCTGCATGACAACGGCTCTCAGGATCGACCTGGGGAAGGAGGAGGAGGAGGGCAGGGGGAGCTCAGACCAGGAGCAGGAGGAGTGCAGGGGTGGGGCGATGGGAGCAGAGGGCGGGCCTGGAGCCCCAGGGCATTTCCTTATTTATTTATTTTTGAGACAGGGTCTCTCTCTGTTGCCCAGGCTGGGGTGCAGTGGTGCGATCTGGACTGACTGTAGCCTTCACCTCCCAGGCTCAAGGAATCTTCCCACCTCAGCCTCCTGATTAGCTGGGACTGCAGGTGCGTGCCGCCACGCCTGTCTAATCTTTTTGTAATTTTTGCAGAGACAGGATTTCACCATGTTGCCCAGGCTGATCTTGAACTCTTGGGCTCAGGCTGTCCTCCTGCCTCACCCTCCCAAAGCTCGGACTATGAGCGTAAACCACATGCACTGCCTTATTTTCTTTACTTTTCATTTTTCTGGGTACATAGTAGGCCCTAGGGCTTTTTATTCATAGAATTTCCCTTCTTCCATCCTTGTCCTTCCTTTTTCTTTATTCTTTTTTTTTTTCCCGATACGGAGTCTTGCTCTGTCGCCCAGGCTGGAGTGCAGTGGCGTGATCTCCGCTCACTGCAAGCTCCACTTCCCGGGTTCATACCATTCTCCTGCCTCAGCCTCCCAAGTAGCTGGGACTACAGGCGCCCGCCACCTCGCCCGACTAATTTTTTGTATTTTTAGTAGAGACGGGGTTTCACTGACTTATCGAGCATGGTGTCAATCTCCTGATCTCGTGATCTGCCCGCCTCAGCCTCCCAAAGTGCTGGGATTACAGGCATGAGCCACCGCACCCGGTCCTTCCTCTTTATTTTTTTGAGAGATGGAGTCTTGCTCTGTCACCCAGGCTGGAGTGCAGTGGCAAGATCTCGGCTCACTGAAACCTCTGCCTCCCAGGTTCAAGCAATTCTCCTGCCTCAGTCTCCCGAGTAGCTGGGACTACACAGGCGCACCCCCACACCTGGCTAATTTTTGTAGTTCTAGTAGAGATGGGGTTTCACCATGTTAGCCAGGCTGGTCTCAAAGTCCCATCCTCATGATCCTGCCCCCTCAGCCTCCCAAAGTGCTGGGATTACAGGCGTGAGCCCCCGCACTCAGCCCCTTCCTTCTTTATTTTATTGAGTCTTTCCCTGTCTCGTCACAGGTCACGTGTGATTTCTGGCATCCTGTTCCCCAGGCATCCATTAACCAGGCATCCTCAGCCCCTGCTGTGGCCTGGCCCTATGGGGGTCGTCCTTGTTCCCTGTCTGCCTTCTGCTACGCAGGTCACTGGACCAGCATTGCTCATGGAGTTGAAGGTTGGCCAAAGGGGCTACTGAGCACTTGAAATGGGGCTCTGATTGAAATGGGGCTCTGATCAGAAACGTTGGTCCGTGAACAATACACAGCTCATTTCAAAATCTCATTGTGAGAATAGACAAACTTTAACTCCCTCATGAGGCATTTTATATTAAGTATATGTTGAAATCATATGTGAGATAATGGAGCTAATGCAGACATTAAAATGTCTTCCACCAGTTCTTGCCGCCTTTTAAGCGTGTGGGGACTGGAAGCACTTGTGCTTCACTCCTGAGTCCTGGGTGTTTCTGAGGCCAGCACTGCTGTAGGCCAGGCCTGCCCAGCACACAGACAACTCCCACCGCAAACATACTCTGAAAAGTCTCCTGCCAGGGCGGAGGGGACTGCAGGGGTGGGTGGGACACGACAGGGTAGGTGAGAGGTCAGTGGCCCGTGTGGACAAGATTTTGGGAAAGAAAGTCAAGAGTGAGGGTGCTGGGCTCTAAGCAAGGCCTTTTGGGAAGAGACAAACCCCCTCCACCATCCGATCCCAGGAGAGTCAGGGAGGAAGATCTGGGCCATGGACTTAAAAAATGTGGGAGGAGGTTGGGCACGGTGGCTTATGCCTGTAATCCTAGCACTTTGGAAGGCCAAGGGGGGGCGGTTCACGTGAGGTCAGGAGTTCGAAACCAGCCTGGCCACCATGGTGAAACCGTGTCTCTACTAAAAGTAGAATAAAAATTAGCCGGGTGTGGTGGCGGGCACCTGTAATCCCAGCTACTCAGGAGGCTGAGGCAGGAGAATCGCTCGAACCCAAGAGGCGGAGGTTGCCTGGGAGAGACTCTGTCTCAAAAAAAAGAAAAAAAGAAAGACATGTAAGAGGAAAATATACACAGGAGAGCCAATGCCAGGCACGTCACTTATTGTGTTTTCTGCATTCCCAGCTGCTTAGCTCCTATTTGGGGTGTAACTAGGACTTTGGTGCTACCTGGTTTCGGAAGACGCCTGTCTTCCAGGGGACAGTTGAGCGCTGCTTTATAATTTCCACGGCGAAGCACAGCCAGGTTTCATTCCGACCATAGGCTTTCCGTAGGTTTTTAAAGTGGAAGTAGAATGTGTGTGGATACATTGCCTCCATCGGGTTTCTGAGGGCACAAGAGAGAAATCCCAATGCAGAGACTCCCCTCCTCGGAGTCCTGGGGGCTGATGCCCACTGAACACCACTTCCTGGACGGCCCTGGGCTCTGGGCCTCCCCCATCCCTCCGCAGCCCTGAGAATGTCTGCTGCTTTCCCAGGCAGGAAGATTGGGAGAGAGAAAGAGGAGGGAATACTGGGGATACTGGCAGGGGCAGCAGGGCCAGGGTGTCCTCTTCCAGCTGGAACCCCAGCTCTGGGGCTACCAATGGACACCCTCAACCTCCCAGTTTTTCTGCCACACATCTCCCAACCCATTAGGAAAACGCAACAGAGAATAAAACTCTTCACCCTAAAATAATTGCTTGAACATTTCAGCTCAGTTCCTTCCCCACATTTTACCTTCTGATGATGATGATGATTTTTACATTGGGATCACACCAAATTTATTCTTTTTTTTTTTTACATAGGTTCTCACTCTTTCACCCAGGCTGGAGTGCAGTGGCACAATCTCGGCTCACTGCACTCTCCGGCTCCTGGTTTCAAATGATTCTCCTGCCTCAGCCTCCCAAGTAGCTGGGAATATAGGCGCCCACCACCACACCTGTCTAATTTTTTGTATTTTTAGTAGAGATGGGGTTTTACCATGTTAGCCAGGATGGTCTTGAACTCCTGACCTTGTGATCCACCCACCTCGGCCTCCCAAAGTGCTGATGACAAGCGTGAGCCACTGTGCCCTGCCCTAATTTTTGTATTTTTAGTAGAGATCAGGTTTCACCATGTTGGCCAGGCTGGTCTTGAACTCCTGATTTCGTGATCTGCCTGCCTCGGCCTCCCAAAGTGCTGGGATGAGAGGCATGAGTCACTGTGCCCAGCCGGCCGAGGCCACTCTCCCAACTGCTGCATATGAGCTCATGGCATGTGCCTGAGGCCTGCAGGGACCATCCCTATTTTACAGAGGAGGTGCCAGAGGCGTACAGAGGCCAGGTAATCTGCCCGAGCCACAGAGCTGGGGCAGCAGATCGAGCTGGGGCCCCTTTCCATGCCAGCCCTGTCCAGCCTCTGCATCACGGGCCTGCAGCGGGGAGCTGTCGGGAACTGGGCTCTCTTCTTACTAAACTTTAAAATAAGAGCATTACTCCTGATCATCATATTTTTTCCTACATTCCATGTTACAGGGGTCATTCTAAAAGGCGAATGGTGCTTACAGAGGAGGAGCCTGTGTCTGGGGTCATGTGCATCCTCCTCTGCTCACACTGGAGGCATCTTTGGAAGAAATGGCTTATTTTCTAGTAGGAGACCATTCCCTCCCCCACACCCTCTCCTAAGACTTTGTATTGAAACAAAGTAAATCTT